CAATTTGCACAAGCTCATCGAAATTGGACAAGAGAAGATTGGAAAAGCGACATTCGGATGGTAGGGTCAGAATTTGGCGTCAACAACATGAAAGCATGGATCCATCCTGCCTTGTATCAACGGTTCAGGCTGGTGGTGGTGGTTTCATGGTGTGGGGAATCTTTTCTTGGCACTATTTGGGCCCCTTGGTACCAATTGAGCATCGTTGCAACGCCACAGCCTACCTGAGTATTGTTGCTGACCATGTCCATCCCTTTATGACCACAAAACCGTTACTAGCGTGGTGTACCTAATAAAGTGGCCGGTGAGTGTATACTACACACTGCAGTCAGCAACCACTTTCAACATGGAGGAAAACATTATTTTAGCGGTGTCCGACTTTCCTACTTTACATGTAGTCACTTTGTGAAGTGTCATGTAAAAGAGGAAAATGAGACTGCTTTGAAAATGCCAAAATCCCTCCTATTTCACAGGCAATTAAATTCTTCATCATTTGGTGGCAGTAGTGCAACCCATTCAGTTATTTGGCCAACTGCCAATAAAATCTACAAGAAGAACCAATCAAATTTCTTGGAGCCAAGCAACCAGAGAGCACGATTCACAATGCTGGTGTTACTATCACGTCACGTGTGTTTGGTTTCACCACGGCGACGATGATTGTCATCTCTTGCTGTCATTTGTCATTCAACTTCCACCTACATATTTAAATTCAGGTTTTTATAAATACCCTGGTCACATCCCTGCGGCACCTCTTACATCAGCGCTGGTACGTTTTAAGATAAATTAGTCTGTTTAGTGCAGTTTAGTTTAGTTTAGTTGTTGAGTAAAATTCAGTTAATCAGTCACAAAATATTCTTCAACATTAAGAAAACAAGCCCAAAAACAACAGCAAAAGTTAAATTAGGGTGTTACTATTACCATCAACTATGAGTCGTCTGCATTTCCTGTGTTTGATCTACACAATGTAAACATCCTGATAAAAGACCAAAAATGTGTCAGTTTCCTTAGGATCCGCAATTGTTTTGATTTACTGTTTTGTCCCCATGAAGTTACAAACTAATTTGTTTGAAAAACAAGTCAAAAACAGCCAACAGAGGGGAAAAATAAATTGTCAGGCTTAAAGCCTGCATTTTCATCTTCAAAGAGAAACTGGTTTGTCCCTCCCACTGAATTATAGTCACTGCATCACCACTCCCATATCCTTCAGAAAGTCATTCCACAGCAGAGTGGGAAATTCCAATAAAAACTGTGGCAGCAGGGAAAGGGCATTGTGGTTTTTCACCATGAGGATGTGTGTAAATAAGAAAAATCAAAGCAAACTTCAGCAGACATTTACACAGCCTCCAAACTCGTAATCCTTTAAAAGCCTTCATAAAAAATTAAATCAAAATGTTTTAATAACATTACTAAAAACAAAAATATTATCATGAAACAACTGGGCGAGCTGTGGGATAAAGTGTGATATTCACAACTTGACTGTATCCTGTGACGGACAGATGTGTGAGTGGGTGAGAGCAAGAAACAAATTTGAAAGAAAAAAAGGTGGGGGATAAAAAGGAAACCAGTAACAGTTATTTTCAGGGTCTTCTTTTCTTGCCAGTTTCTTCTTGCAAAGCTTTTGCACACTTGGTGTTTTATAGCCTAGCTGCTGCCAACTAGTTTTGGCCTGCTCTACAATGAAACTGAACAGAACCAAACTCAACGGCGTCCCAAGTGCAGTACTATACATCAGGTCTGATTAAGATCAATAGGTGGAACTTATTGTAACCCATAACACACTCACACCCACAAGTATCATGGACAGCAAGAGAAGATGCTTTGTGAAAATCTTGGTACTGCATGTTAATAAAAATTAAACCTTGTCAAAACAATTCAAGAAAACAAGAATGAAGTTCAGAGAACATGGAGCATGGAGGGTCACAATAGCTAAGTGGTCAGTGCAGCAGTCTTGTTCATCTATCCCCTAACTTTTGCTCTGCTTGGGGTATCATTTTTAGAAATGTGTCATTTGCCAATAATCCAAATTATTTAAATGGCTTCTTACAATGAATGATAAGAACCAAATTTGTATTTTTTACTTCTTGTAATATCTTTATATTTTCCTCATCCACATTGTTTTTTCATGAAGAATAGGCAGAGGAGAGCAGTGGGTGGTAATGGTGGTGGTGGTGGGGGGTCCGCTTGACAGAACACCTGGTTATGCCCATGCCCATGCCATCATATGTGCCATACGTGATGACATATCTTCCTACACGGTGATGCAATTCAATCAAAATTGAACGGCTCTACAAAAGAAATGGTATGATTCAGATCCCATCAAAGAGCCATTTGTCCCATTTTTAAACATGTAGATTTTTTGCATTGTAAGGCCTGGCCTGGCTCTGGTCGGCAATGCCCAGGTCTTCTCCTGCTCTTCACAGCCTTGTTGATTTTGTATGTGGGCAGGTTTGTTATAGCAATAATGTTCAAGGCTCATTTGATGGCACTGTTTGCAACACCCAATGGAAAATAGCTCATTTTAATCCTGCTCATCATAATTTTTCTCATCAAAATGAAATTCAAACAGAGGCAGATAAGTCTGCATGTTGCTTTGAAGAAATACTGTGAAAAGGTATGTGAGATTGTAAGAGGCTATGCACACAGCAAAAACAGGAGTGTTAGAATTTCAGTGTTTTTTAAGCCACTTCAGTAGAAAACAGAACTGAATGTTAGTTTAGTTTCTTCATCATCAGTGACTTTTTTAATTGAAGAGAAGAAGAAAAAGAAGACTGAAAGAGAGATTAGATACATGAAATATAAACCAAGAAACACCCGACATCCGTCTGCACACCTGCAAAAATGGAGAAAACAAAAATACAGCAACAAATAACGTGTACATCATAATAATTATAACTTCGCTGAAATATATACATACATGCACATAACCATACATACATATATAGATAGGGGCCTATAGGTACACACATGCATACATTCATACATATATGTATACATACCCACATCTATACTTACATACACCCTCAGTGACCGTCAGAAACCCCAGAATCTGAACACCAGCTTGTGTGCAGGCATGAGCATGCATGTATACACAAGATTTTTCCAATGGAATATTTACTAGTGACTGTGGAGACCCAAAGACCCGACCCCCAAGACCTGAAGCAGACATAAGGGAGACCAGTGCCAAAGTCCCCGAGAGTGATCCCAAGCGTGGAGCCTCCAGGGGCACCAGTGCAGAAAGAGCTGCACACCCGTCCCCCCAGAGCGGACCATAGGAGAGATCCAAGAGAGTCCCCCCAGTGACCCCATGCAGTAATCCCCCGGTGCCAACAGCAGCGAGCTCACAGGCCCTGCCAGCACCCACTGCGCTGGAGCAGATCCAGGCATGAACACAGAGGCCCCAGGACGCACCACCCCAAGGCCAAGGCCCGATAGGGCCAGAGGACCCAGGCCCCACAAGGCAGTCACTGGGCTGAGCCAGTACACTCCCAAGTGCCCAGCCCCAGACACTGAGGGCTACCAGCGCACCAGCGGGCAGAGGCACAGCCCACCAGAGGGCAGAGTGGCAGGGGGGCAAAGCCCACCACCAGAAGTGGGCCCCCAAGTGAACCAGAGGAGGGGGCAACCCAAGACTCAGCCTGACACATATCCAATCAAGCATAGACACAATCTCACCCTCATCTTCATACCCACTCATTCAAAGACACACAAGATGGACGCAATACTCCAATCATGCTCCCCATACATACCCCATACCCCTCTGGTCCAGGACATACACCCACCCCCAACAGAGGGCAGCCCACACCCAGAACAAGGAGGTAGACACATTCATTCTGGGGTGGAAAGGAGCAGACAGCCAAGGTCCGGCCCAGACCGCACCAGGCCGACTGGTCAGTCCCCCCCGCCTCAGCGAATCCACACCCCAACCACCCCCACACACTGCGAACGACCAAGTGCGTACCCCCAACCGACCACCCAATGGACTCTGCCCCCCGGCCAGCGGGCCAACCACAGCAACCAGGAGCCATACCTCGGGAGTCCAAACGGCCCCAGGGAAGCCGGAGCGCCAGCCCTGTCCCCGGCACACCCCCCCAGGCCCCGAGCCCACCCACAGCCCAGGCTCCCACCAGACGGTCTGCCCCTCCTCTGGACCCCATCTGTAAATGGCTATCGGGGAACATGGGAGTGAGGGAAAAAAAGACGCACACACACATCTCCACCCTCAGATGTTCTGTTGATTACTCATTGTTGACACCCAATGGAAAATATTTAGCTCATTTTAGTCTTACTCATCATAATTTTTGTCATCTAAAACAAATTCAAACAGAGGCAGAGAAGTCTGAATGCTGCTTTGAAGAAATACTGTGAAAAAGTATGTGAGACTGTATGAGGCTATATCATGTCAAAAGCAAGGTGATATAAAAATATAAGCGAATGCTAGGTAATGTTCACTTGTTCGCAGTCATTTGAAGTTATACAGACAGGGACTGCCCAATGCAAAGACCCAGAACCTGGGCCAGAACCTAGGGTGTGCCAATCCAGGACATTCCAAGCCTTACAATGCAAAAAGGCTATTACACGTGATAGCTCAAATATACGTAGAGCACAAATTCCTTTTTGTATGGGAACATCAAAGGTCTACAAAATACTTGAACAAAATAACTAGGAAAAAGTAAAAAAAAAAAAACTCAACAGAAAATGACTTTGGTAGACATGAATTTCAGGAATAAGAAAAGTACTTAAGTAAAAATCATAAAACTGCTCACATTAATTGGGAAAGCAAAAGTAAAAGTATTTGTACACAGACTCCAAGAAATGAAATATTGAATTTACTTAATCAAACTGCTTCCATTCAACTGAGCTGAGCAATTTACATATTTTATTTTAAAGAAAATGAGCAAATTGCTTTACTTGGTTTAGTGGATCCAGTTGACATAACTTGATCAAGTCAATTCAGCACTTGATTGTTTAGAGTGCATTAACAACTCCTTTCATGAAGATTTCCCATCATATTGAAATTTGTAATGTGTAACTAGGTGTTACATTTTAAAGTTAGGAGTAAAAGGTGGGGAGGCTGTGGCCGAGTGGTTAGGGGAGTCATCCTGTTCCAGCCGTCTCAGTGATTTTGGCCTTGAGCAAGACACTTCACCTGCCTTGCCTACTGATTGTGGTCAGAGGGTTCGGTGGCGCATGGCAGCCCCGCCTCTGTCAGTGTGCCCCAGGGCAGCTGTGGCTACAATGTAGCTTACCATTATCTGTGTGTGAATGTATGTGTGAATGACTAAAGCGCTTTGGGGTCTCCATGGTGTAGGTATTACTTAATGAAATCAGGACCAGCCTATTTTCATAAATGTAATCCAGGATCTTGCAAGAAATGAAATCAGGTATAATGAAACACCCCTCTGATCATGAATGAGAAAAGAACTTGTGGTCTTGTCAGATTTCTCAAATAAAGTAATTTATTTTAGATATATGACCAGAACAAACATACAAACATTTCTTAAAATTATTATATGAATAAAACACAAGTTATAATAAC